TCTTCTGGCTCATGGTTCTGGATGTTCAAGTACAAAAGCTGGGGCATCCACTGGTTAAGCCTCTCAGGTTAGGTATTTTTTTTAAGATGCATTTTAAAACTTTTAAAATTCATTTTCCCCTTTTACTTGCAAAGCAGGGAGACAGGGACAGTGGTCTTTGATCCTCTGGTTCACTCCCTAAGGCTTAACAACATCCAAGGCGAGCCTAAAGCCAAAAGCCTGGAACCCAATCTGTTCCCATGTAGGTGGTGGGGACCCAAGTACTTGCGCCGTCATCTGCTGCCTCCCAGAATTCACATTTACCAGGAAGCCGGATCAGAAGTTGGGGCCAAGACTTGAAGCCAGACACTTCCATGTGGGATGTGGGCATTCCCAGTGGCTCCTTAACCACTGAGCCAAATGCCTGCCCTGCCGATGGTCTTCTTGTTGGCAGAGTCCCGGGGTGGTGCAGGGCATCCCATGGCAAGAGCAGGGAGCACTCGTGTGGCTACATCTGTGTGGCCTCTTGGAAAGCTACTAAGATTCAATCCAGCTGTGCCCTTGGCACCCAAAGCAACCTGATCACTGCCCAAAGGCTCCACCTCTGAACACCGAAGTTGGATCCAGTTGCCACCTTCTTAGAACCATCAGCACAAGACCTTGGGGATGAAACTCCCATGGTGGAGGGGAGGAACACACGGTGGCCCCAGCCAAGAGCTCCTCATCTCCACTGTGAAGGGCCTGAGGCTGTCCCCACGTTGGTGAAGGGGGTGAGGTCACCAGGGACGGCAGGTGGCCCTTCTGGAATGTACCAGACCCAGATCAGGCACTGGCTGAGGAAGCCCAGACTGGGCCTTGGAGACTGGTGGGTCTGATTGGAGGACTCAGGCCACCCGCGTGCAGGGCCTCTGCAGGCCCTTCCCTCCCCATAGCTGGGTGTGGTGTCCCTCCATGGAAGACTGCAGCCTCTTGTCCCACACTGCTGCCCCATGTTGGGAGGTCCCCGAGCAAGGCTTTGTCTGCAACCTTCGGCTGTCAGCTTGCAGGCAGGGGGGTGGTGGGCAGGCTTTCAAAGACCACCACAGGCCAGTGCCGCGGCTCAATAGACTAATCCTCCGCCTGCGGCGCCGGCAACCCGGGTTCTAGTCCCAGTCGTGGCGCTGGATTCTCTCCCGGTTGCTCCTCTTCCAGTCCAGCTCTCCGCTGTGGCCCGGGAGTGCAGTGGAGGATGGCCCAAGTGATTGGGCCCTGCACCCGCATAGGAGACCAGGAGAGGCACCTGGCTCCTGGCTTCGGATCAGCGTGATGCGCTGACTGCAGTGGCCATTGTGGGGTGAACCAACGGCAAAGGAAGACCTTTCTCTCTGTCTCTTGCTCTCACTGTCCACTCTGCCTGTCAAGAAAAAAAAAAAAAACACCACAGACCTCCTGTGAAGACCCCACTGTGTCAGTTAGGTGTGCACATTTGTTCCTGCATTCAAAAACCTGGGGCTGTGTCACCCGTTGGATGCTGGGATCACGTTGAACTGGAGTTTCATCTTGGCTGTCCAGAACCTTATGGTCGCTGATGCCTGGGCACATGTCTGCCCTGTCTGCCCTGTCTTGCTTAGTGGGCAAGGCCAGGCTGATTGGGTTTAAACCCAGGCACCACCACTCCCTAACTGCATGACCTCAGCACATTATTTTTAGCCTCTTGTGACTCAGTTTTCTCATCTTTGAAAGGGGTACAGTGTCTCCCTCTTGACTGGTAGAAAGGTCGGCTGCCTTTGTTGTGCAGAGTGCTCAGTATGGAGTAAGGGCTTGACCTTGACTTAACTAAAACTGAACACAAACTTCAGTTCGCGTGGTAATGCAACACTCATGGGCTGTCTCAGAAAACCCGAACCGCCGATCATTATCATTTTTTCTGAGTAACTCCTTATTTTTTCAGTAAGGGGGAAAAAGAGAATCAAACCCGAACGGAATGTGGGGATGAAACTTAAGCTCGGTCACATTTGGCTTAATTTCTCTTCAGGGGAAAAAAATAACCAGACAGCGTGGCAAAACAATCAAACTGGCAGCTCCGCCGGCCCAGGCCTTCCTGTTACACATTCCAGCGGGTGTGGATCTGGCGAGCCGGTGCTGCCTGTCCCCTGGGGCCAGTGTTCTTGGTAGAATCTTCTGGAAGCAGATGCTGCTGCAAGCCACAGCCTCCTGCCGTGCAGCGAGCAGAACAGGGCGTGGGAGGGGAGGGCCGAGCTAGGAGCCCAGCTGGGGGCTGTGGTGGGCCGTGCACCAGGCAGGGGGCCGTTCCTGTAATCGCCCTGGCATTTACTCTCCCAGCCCAAGAGAAGGCAAGGTTTCCATCTCACAGGTACGTCTGTGCTGCAAACACCAGGCTTGCGTGTACAATTCTGGGCAGGGCTAGGCCATTGTCACTCCTGTTCTATGTCAAGCCCCACGTCTTAGGCCTGTAGTGTGGGGAGAGCCAGGGTGAGGCCAGGGGTTCTTGGGATGCCACCCCTGACTCAGGTCCCTGGACTTGTCAGGACAGAATGCCTATTATGAAAGACTGCATGGTTGACCCCAGATAAGCTCATCTTTCAATTCCATTTTTTTCCATTTACTTTTTGAAGCACCCCTGTATACCCTCAGGCTGTGGGGTACTCAGCACAACCTCATGGGGGTATCATCACCCCATTTTGTTGATGAGAAAACTGAGGCCAAGTGAGGTTAATAACCCTCAGGTCACATAGCGGGACACTGTGGAGCCGGGGTTCATCCTCAGAGCCATCTGGGCTCCACACCAGGGGTCAGACACCCAACTGCGGGGCGGCCTCATTCACCCTTCACCAGCTTTTGTTCAGCCCAAGAGCTAAGACTGGTTCTGGCGTTTCTGAATGGTTGAAAAAATATCAAAAGAAGCAGCATAATTTTTGATGTCCAAAGATATGTGGGGCCAAGCGCTGTGGCGTAGTAGGTTAAGCCTCCGCCTGCAGCAACGGCATCCCATGGGCGTGCTGGTTCCTATCCCAGCCACTTTTTTTTTCTGATCCAGCTCTCTGCTAGTGGCCTGGGAAGGCAGTGGAGGATGGCCCAAGTGCTTGGGCCCCTGCACCCACATGGGAGACCTGGAAGAAGCTCCTGGCTTTGGATCAGTGCAGCTCCGGCCATTGTGGCCATTTGGGGAGTGAACCAGCAGATGGAAGACCTCTCTCTCTCTCTCTGAGTCCCCTTCTCTCTCTGTAACTCTGCCTCTCAAATAAATAAATCTTTAAAAAATTATATGAAATTGAAATTTTAGGACATAAATCTTGGTTGGAATATAGCTGTGCACATTTGTTTTCATGTTATCTATAATGCGTACGGTGTGCACTCCAGTGGTACCATGGAGTCGTTGCAACAGAGACCATAAGGCCTCTGAAGCCTAAAATATTTACTCTCTGGTCTTGCTAACCTCTGCACTTACCCACTGTGTTGGCAGCCTCAGAAATGGGGTGCATGTGAAAGCTCCCTTGCCAAGTTCAAGGATGACGTGGAGCACTAAGGGAGGTTGATCCTACTTTCAGAGGATTTAATGTGAACTGGGGGGCTGGGAGCTCTCTGGCGGCTGCTGCGGGGCTGCTCCTCAGCCCTGCCCTGCTCAGCCTTGGTAGAGGCCTGGATGGGGACAGCCACACCAGTCTGGCTGCTCTGTGTTCCTGCCTCACAGAGCCCTGATTTGCTCTCCTCCTTTCTGTTCCTTGATCTGACGGCTGTAGGTTCCGGGCTCATTGCATCCTCACCTTCCTCTGACCGCTTAGCGTGTGTCCTAATTTGGTGGCAGGAAAGGCCATGGTCGTTGGAGGGAGGGGTGCCTTCTCTCTCTCTGCCTCTCTCTCAGTCTCGCTGTCCTGCTGGACATGAATAAGCTAACGTGTGCCCGCAGCAGCCACCTGCTGGCTTCCTAGAACAACACAGGGTGCTGTCCTGGTTGTGAGAGGTCAAGTGGAGATTGGGAAGAAGCCCAAGCCCTCCTCCTGATGATAGCGAGCTGCTAACCCCACCCCACCTGCCTCCCGTGACTCATCGTGTTGCAGCTGACACTAATGTTCCTTTCGGCTTTGGGCGTTTGCAGTCAGTTTTTCCTGTTACTTGCGTATGAACACAAGAAAGAGAGCCCAGTTGCAGAGGTCGAAGGAGACCTCATCAGGAGATAATGAATTTGATCTCAGCTTTGCTCATTAAATCTGGAGATCTCATTGCAGTCTGTAAAGGAGGAAAAGGCACAGAGCCCATCACCCTCCCTGGGAGCTGGGGCAGCATCAAGCATGGCGGGGTGGGGGAGGGTGTTCTGAATGGTCCACATCTATCTTCTGTGGTCATTGCTCAGCCACCCTGAACCACAGACTTTGTGGAGCTTTAGCCAGCACAAGCATCCCATGTCCCTCTATCCATCTGCAGCCAACCCCTCTCCATGAACCCGGGGATACCACCTATCACCTCCAGGCTGCAGCCGTCTTCAAGGTCACACTCCAGTGCTTTTGCATGTATGACCTTGGGCATGGCTGAGCCCAGTCTGATAAGTTGGGAGAATGCCTCCCAGTTAGGAACACACCTCACTTACATGTTCTGGTTTGTTAGAGTGGACTCGAGTGGACCAGCAGACGACAGGTGCACAGGGGCACTTCTGGAAGGGTCCTGAGCACAGACTGTGGAGTTGGGGTGCATATGAACACGTTCAACTTCATTGTTCCAACAAAGGACACACCTGTCACCCAAGAACATCCAAGGGTTTTAGGAGTTCTGTGGGCATTGGGGGACATTGGCTGGCCTGAGGCCTCAGCCCACAGGGCCCGCTGTTAGGAGTGAGCTGGCCCGAGCAGCAGAGCAGTGGCCCTAATTCTAGCCCAAGGCTGGTAGCAGTGCTGACTGCTCCAGCTCTGAGGAGCACCCCAGTGTAGCTCAGGGTGGCAGAGGGAGCAGGCGCCCAATGGCCCCAGTGTTGGGGCTGGTGGGGGCAGGCCCTGTCCCAGGCCCTCAGCAGCCAGGTGTCTCCACAGGTGCACGACCGTCTGGATCGCTACTGCTGTGGCTTCGAGCCTGAGCCCTCAGATCCCTGCGTGCTAGAGCGGCTGCGAGAGAAATGCCGGAACCCGGCCGAGCTGCGGCTGGTCCACATCCTGGTATGTCTCCCCTGACCGTGTCTCCTGTCGCCCCAGACGTGGCCTCCTGTCTCTTTCAAGGACAGAGACGCTGGCTGCGAGTGTCAGGGGTCATTGGATGCCGAGGTTTCCCTGACCTGATCTTTTTAGCAGCAGAACTGTTTGTTTTAGTATTTCCAGGAAGCCACAACCTATAAAACTGACCAAGTGCAGCTTTGAGAATGGGCTAGAGTGTGGTGGCGTGGGGGCTGGAGCCCTGTTCTTGCTGTTTCCACTGCCCCCAAGAGACTTCAGGGAACCCCCCAGGATCCCTGGAAGCAGAGTTTGAGAACCAGGTCTCCAAATGGAAGGCAGAGAGGCAGAGAGGGGGGCAGCCAGGGACCTGGAGGCAAAAGGCCATGATCTGAGCCTTGGTTGCTAGCAGGGATTATGGGAAATCACATGGGATTTGGGAGCATGGAGGGGGATGGGGTGTGCATGGGGTGGGGGCCAGCAGAGAGGGCCTCCCATTCCCAACCACACCGTGGCTTTGAAGACATGAAAGACTTCTCAGTTGCTGGTTTCAGTTTTGAAAATTTCGAGGATATTCGACAGGGTATGGTTCCTGCTGTCGGAGGGTAAAGGACACCGTGGGGTGCTCCCAGGGAGGCTCTGGGAGCTGCCCTGGTGCTCAGGAACAGGTGGCACAAGAAGTGACTGTGTGTGTGTGTGTGGTTCAGCACACACATGTGCACAACACACTGCAGAGCCCAGGCCCCACGAACAGACTCCTTGTGTACCTGCTGAGCCCCACCCCCACTGCTCACCCCTTCAGCCACTGAAGCAGGAGGCAGCCCCTTTGCCTGGCAGCTGAACAGGTAACGTGTGGCTTATCACTGTGGGTCCAGGCCTGAACCAGCCTGGCTACTTCCTAGCTGACGATTCCTGTGCCTCCGATTCTGTAAACTGCGGTTAACACGAGTGCCCCCCTCCTAAGGTTGCTGGGAGGATCCACTGACTTGACACCTGGAAGAACCTAGCACGGCGCCCAGGGGAGGGCGAGCACTCAGCTGTGGCAGGATGTGCTGTGGGACGCACAGCCCAGCGCCCTGAGCCCCTTAGCACCGACAGAGCCCACAGGCATTGTTAACTCTGCTGCACCCTCACCTGTCTGTCTCTATCCGTCTCCCCGACTCTGAGGTCCGGAACAGTGACCCATCTCGTCTGGTCTACATCGATAATGCTGCCAACCTCCAGCACCCCGAGGACAAGCTGAACTTCCGGCTCCTGGAGGGTATCCGTGGGTGAGGCTCCAGGGGTTGCAAGTTCAGGGCACTGAGGCTGGAGGGTCTTGCTGCAGACAGTGGGACCTAGAACAATGGTAGTAGACAGGCGCTTTGAGAGGGTGTGGGGAGCCCTGGGAAAGCTCAGAGGGGATACAGCTGGTAGCACCTGAGCCTACTGTGCAGACAGCCCCCTGGCCCTGCAGCTGCCCCGCTGTGGTGTGGGAAGGCTAGCCCCTCTCTTGCACTGGGTGGGAGAGCTAGCCTGGAGGGGCCATCTTTCCCAGCTTGCTCTTCGTAACTGTCTCAGCTTTCTGGGGTCATTTTTTTTTTTTTTTTTTTTTTTTTTTTTTTTTTGGCCCCACGTTTTGCCAAGCAGAGCCTGGGATGGCAGAGTTGATCCATTTCTGTGGTCTGTCCCCTTGCTTTCATAGCCCTAGGGGGTCAGAGCGCCCCCTGAGGCCAAGGCAGCAGGTGCAGGCCCGGGGACTTGACACTCTGAGAGCACTGCTGCTCTTCCTCTGTGTCACGGGTGCTGTGGGCTTCGTCCCAGGTTCCCTGAGTCGGCCGTGAAGGTTCTCGCATCAGGGTGTCTCCAGAGCCTACTGCTCAGGTCGCTGCGGATGGACCCGGTGTTCTGGGAGAGCCACGGCGGGACCCCCGGGCTGAAGCAGGGCCTGCAGAACCTGGAGCGCCGAGGACAGGTCCTGCTGGCTCACATCCAGAGACACAACCTCACGCTCTTCAGGGACCAGGACCCGTGAGTCCGGCACTGCCCAGGCAAGCATCGCCCCTCACGTCAGAACCCTGAGTTGATGAGCAGCCCTCCTGATGGCCAGGGGCTCCTGTGCTCACCCATCCTGAGGACACATGGGGAAAGCGAGAAACCAGAGGGACGGGTGGATGTCGTGGGATGGTTCGCCGCCTGGGACAGGGGAGGTGGCGTCGGGGGTTTCACTCTGACTGCTTTCCTCTCTGCCTTCTTGACTGTGGCTGTTTCCATGGACCAATGAATGTGATTCACGATTTTCTGTGAACTGCTCCAGAGCCTGCCCAGTTGTGCATCCCATGTGCCCAGGCAGAGCCAGACCACTGCCTGGAGAACTGCAGGGTGTCGCACGTACACACCTGTGGACACACCCGCGTGTGATACATGAGACAAACCTGACAAAGGGTCTTCATAGAATTGCACTTGCAGTTAGAAGCAGTCTCGGGTCCAAGTGTTGAAACACAAAGGGCCAGCACTGTGGTACAGCTAATAGAGCCGCCACTTGCAAAGGCAGCTTCCCGTATTGGAATGCTAGTTCAAGTTCTGCTACTCTGCTCCTGATCCAGCCCCCTGCTGGCTGCGCCTGGGAAAGCTGCAGAGGTTGGCGCAAGTGCTTGGGCCCCTGCCACCCACATGAGAGACTTGGATGGAGTTCCTGGCTCCTGGTTTCAGCCTGGCCCCGCCCTCAGTATTGTGGCCATTTGGAGAGTCAATCAGAGGATGGAATATTCTCATTCTCTCCATCTCTCTCTTTCAAATAAATACATCTCTTTTTTTTTTATATAAGACTTATTTATTTATTTGAAAGGCAGTGTTACAGAGAGGCAGAGGTAGAGAGAGAGGTCTTCCATCCACTGGTTCACTCCCAGATAGGCACAACAGCTGAAGATGCGCCGATCTGAAGCCAGGAGCCAGGAGTTTCTTCTGGGTCTCCCATGCAGGTGCAGAGGCCAAAGGACTTGGGCTTCTTCTACTGCTTCCCCAGGCCATAGCAGAGAGCTGGTTCAGAAGTGGAGAAGCCGGGACTTGAACTGGCAGACATATCGGATACCAGCGCTGCAGGTGGTGGCTTTACCCGCTACACCACAGTACTGGCCCTGATAAATACATCTTTTGAAAAAAATTACACTAAGGATTTGTCTTTATAGGCTTTAAATTTTTCAGTTCTTACTCTGTTACATTGTTTGGTTTAAAAACTGGAGAAGTAACACATGCTTGCTAAAAGCAAATGTATAATAGAGGCATATAAACAGTGAAATTCATACTCACACTACATGCAAATTTAAAAATAATAGAAGTGGCCGGCACCGCAGCTTGGTAGGTTAATCCTCTGCCTACAGCGCTGGCACACCGGGTTCTAGTCCCGGTTGGGGCACCGGATTCTGTCCCGGTTGCTTCTCTTCCTGTCCAGTTCTCTGCTGTGGCCCGGGAGTGCAGTGGAGGATGGCCCAAGTGCTTGGGCCCTGCACTCGTATGGGAGACCAGGAGAAGTGCCTGGCTCCTGGGTTTGGATCAGCGCGGTGTGCCAGCTGCAGCACGCAGGCCGCAGCTGCCATTGTGGGGGTGAAACAACGGAAAAGGAAGACCTTTCTGTCTCTCTTACTCTCTCACTGACCACTCTGCCTGTCAAAAAAAAAAAAAAAAAAAAAAGTGGCGATGTCAGTGTCACTTCTACCAAGAGAAGAGAGCGGGGGACTGTTTCCCTTCACCTTCATCAGTACTTGACCGTCTCACATGTTTTTGCCTTTCATCCATCTGATAGGGAAGCTTAATTTGAAAATTGCATTTCCAGGGCAGGCGTGTGGCATAGAGGTTATAATGCTGCTTGAGACGCCTGTATCCTCTGTCAGGCTGCTTGGGTTTGAGTTCCAGCTTCGTTCCCAGTTCCAGCTTCCTGCTAATGCACACGCTGGGAAGCATCGGGGGCGGCTCAAGTAGTTGCGTCCCTGCCACCCACATGAGAGAGTAAGTTCTTAGCTCCTGGCTGATCGGGCATTTGGGAATTGAACCAGATGATGGGCGATCTCTGTGAAATAAATATAATAAATACATAAAAATTAGGATATATTACATTTTCTCAGTTACTAATGAAGCAGCCTTTCTACTTATTTACTAATCAGTATATTTCCTTTAAGATATTTGTCCTCTCCTTGTTAATTGGGTAGAGATCTCGGAATGTAATTAGCATAGCAATCTCCGTTAGTTGTGGTATAAATATTTTCTTCCTGTCTGTCATTTGTCTCTTGACTTTGTTTATGGAGTCTTTTTGCCAAGTAGAAAATGTTAACTTCCGTGTAGTCAAATTTGTTTGTTTTTCCCATGAAGTCTTGGTGTTTCACGCCTTCTTGGAAAGGCTGTCAGTACTGCCAGAACATTCAGATAATCTCCTGTGTTTTATTCAAGTATTTACACAGTATTTTTAAATCCTTAGAAAATGTGTATCTGAGAAAGCTGGGTGTTAGGTATCTAACTTCCATGCCCTTCCCCCAGGTGGATAGTCAGGTGTTCCAGCATCACCATTCCAAAGTCTTCCCTCTCTCTCTCTGCTGAATCTAGCGTTCCCTGGTCATATCCTAAATTCCCACCAGCACAGAGTTCTGTATGTGAACTCTGCTCTGCTCCATTGGTCACTTTTTTCCAGTTCCTGCATCAGCATGACATGATTTTAACTAAGGCTACTTAATACTTTTGCTATCTGGTAGTCTAGGGTCTCATCGTTTTATTCTACTTCAGTTTTTTTTTTTTTTTTCTGTGCTGTTTTTTTGCATTGTCTTTAATACCATAATGTCTACCCACGAAGCATGCCACCCCCTGCCGTTGTCCTCACAGTCCCACTGTTTTCAATTTATAGACTAATTAGAATCTGTTTCATTTTGGATACTGAATGCTGTCACCCAGGGGTGGGGCTTACCCATCCACTTACTCTTTGATCATCCCTAGTAACATTTTATATTTTTCATCATCAAATAGCTCATTTTAAAGATATGTTTACAACTATTGAAAATGACTTTTCTTTCTCAGATGTTTTCATACATTTTTAGATGCGTAACTTAGAGTTCTTAAATAGCAAATCATATTTTCAAATAATGATGACTTTACATTTCTAGTTTGCAAATGTGTGTGTCTATGCACACCTCTGAATTATTTCAGTTGTCTCGTTCCTTTGGCAGAATCTCCCTGGAGGAATGTTGAATCAGAGCAACTATAGCAAGCATCCTCATCTTATTTTTTTAAAGATTTTATTTATATTATTTACTAGTTAGAGTTACAGACAGTGAAAGGGAGAGACAGAGAGAAAGGTCTTTTTTCCATTGGTTCATTCCCCAAATGGCCAGAACAGTTGGATCTGAAGCTAAGAGCCAGGCACCTCTTCCTGGTCTCCCACGTGGGTGCAGGGGCCCAAGCACTTGGGCCATCTTCTGCATTCCCAGGCCACAGCAGAGAGCTGGATTGGAAGAGGAGCAGCTGGGACTAGAACCGGCACCCATATAGGATGCCAGCACCCCAGGTGGAGGATTAACCTGCGCCACAGCGCCGGCTCCCCTCATCTTATTTCTGACTCAAGTGGAAACACCTCTATGATTTCACTGTTGCATATTATCAGGCTTAAAGAAATCATTTCTGATAAATACCTTTCATCAAGTTCAGGAAGTTTCGTTATATTCTTAGCTTACTGCATTTCCCCAGACTCAAGAATGTGGATTAAATTTTATCAAATGCCTTTTCAGTGTGTGTAGAACATAGTTCCTCCTTCAGTTTCTAATGCTGAATGATCTTTTCGTTCCCAGAATTTCCTAGACTAGACCTATTTGGCTGAGGCATATTAGTCATTTAGCAATTTCATGATTTAATCTGCAGTGTGTTACTTAGAATCTTTGCATATGTATTCATATAGGGCCTAAGATGCTCCTTCGCAGAGCACTCTGTAGCTGTGTTAGTAAGTTTAAACAGGCAGACTTCATTAAGTGAATTCAGAATTTTGCTGTCTTTTTCAATGCTTTGGGACAATTTAAAAAGGAAGCACTTATTCCTCAAAGATCTTACAGAACTGTCGCCTAAAACCATGTGGGCCGTGTGCCTTTCACTACCTTATCTTTTACAGACTTTTCAAGGCACTTCCCACCCAATGTGGCCATGTGAGGGTGGGAGGGGCTACAATCCCCGGGGCCCTGGCTTAGCCCAGGGTCTGGGAATGCAGATGTGTCCTGGACACGACGTGTCACTGGGAAGAGGGAGGTCAGCCCCAGCCAGCTCAGGGATTTCTCCTAAGGTCACCAATATGTTGTTCTTTCTCCCATTGGTCTCAGTTCCTCCCAAGGATGTTCCTTCTGGACTCAGCCAGTTTCTATTTCACTGCTCCTGTTCGACTTCCTGCCCCATGGACCTACGCTCAGCCAGAGGTGGGAGTGAGGCACTTATCACCCTAGAAAAAGGCAAAGACAGAGAGACGGGGCTCTCACATCAGGATGAGACTCAGCCAGCCCCTAACACTGCCTCACTAGTGAGACATTAAATACTCAGACAGTGGTATGCGACACTGGAACTCTAGCCCACCTCTGCAGGGACCAGCAGGGGAGCCAAACCACAACTGCATAGCATTGGCCCAGTAGGGTGAGAACTTGGCCAGTGACGGCCATTTTCCTAGTCCACGGGAGAAGGCAGGTGTGCTGATGGCGTGTGTGTGTGTGTGTGTGGTCTCTCTATGAACCCACCAAGTCAGACTCCTCCTGTCAGTGAGCAAAGCTCCAGCTTCCACCAAGACTCTTTGTGTCAGGATGTGAACCAGCCTTCTCAGCAAGAAGGGGCATGCCCATGGACAGACACCAAGTGGTCCCGCCCAGCCTGCCCTGGGCACAACGACTCCCTGTGGCCCTGCAGGACAGGGCTCCACTCTCCCTGCTTAGCCACCCACCAGACACCATTTCTGGGTACTCCTCTTGTCAGGTGGCTGGGTCCAGGTTCTGCCTCTGATGTGATAAAGAAATTTGGGGACAAGATGTAGGGAAAGATCAGCAGAGAAACAAGATTTTTTTGCACTTAAAGCAAATGAACAAGAGGGAGTTCGGGCATACTCCAGAGTGAGCTGTACCCCACGAGGTTTGGGGCCAGCCTGTTTTGTGATCTGGAGGCACAGGAGTGGTACCTTGAAGGGTGGTGTTTAATTGAATAGGGGGTGGAGTCTGGGCAGGGATTGAGTATTGCCTTGTCCCTTTTGGGAAATCTTGGAAGTGTCATGGTGTCAGGTGTGTGATGGGAATAAGAGTGTCAGCCATGGTTATTTTATTGTATTCACCTTATAGCGAGCTACAGGTCAGCCTGGTGACTCCGTCAGCAACCATGGTGGGTAGTTTTGGCTCGTGCCAGCTCTGAGCAGCAGTTTTGCGGAAGTTGCCATTTTCCACCGCAGAGAACTGTGTTATCAAACCCAAGGCCCACACTTGTCACAGTAGAATCCGATACCTTGGCGGACAAGGATTTGGGGAAAAGAAAGGGAGGAAAGTTTACTCAGGCTGCTAGCAACGTGGGGAGGTGGCCGGCTAGTGCCTTGGTTTCCAACCACTCCATGAAGGATGGAGACCGAAACTTATACAGGAAAATGCAGGTTTAGCTACGTGACCACAGTCATGGACAGAGGGTGCAGGTGCGGCGGGGGGAGTCTCTGTCATTCCAGTGCCACTCAGTGGAGCTTCTTTGATACGCGGCTTGGCTGCTCTGGCTGTGGTTGCCAGCATCTTTCTGATCTCAGTCTGCTCTTTCAGCTGCTTCCCTGTAGCCACCCTTCCAATGCTGACAGGGGTGAGGGGGGTTGGGTGGGGTAGGGGGGTATAAGGTTATGAGGTTATAAGCTATAAGGTTACTGTGCAACGTCAGCCACCATCTCAAGTCCAGTTTGCAAAATTCTCACACATTATCTATCTACACTTTTTTTTTTTTTTTTTTTTTTTGACAGGCAGAGTGGACAGTGAGAGAGAGAGAGAGACAGACAGAGAGAAAGGTCTTCCTTTGCTGTTGGTTCACCCTCCAATGGCTGCCGCGGCCAGCATGCTGCGGCTGGCGCACCGCGCTGATCCGATGGCAGGAGCAAGGTGCTTCTCCTGGTCTCCCATGGGGTGCAGGGTCCAAGCACTTGGGCCATCCTCCACTGCACTCCCAGGCCACAGCAGAGAGCTGGCCTGGAAGAGGGGCAACTGGGACAGAATCCGGCGCCCCGACCGGGACTAGAACCCGGTGTGCCGGCGCTGCTAGGCGGAGGATTAGCCTAGTGAGCCGCGGCTCCGGCCTTATCTACACTCTTAATTAGCCACAAGCCCAGCTTTTGTTCTTCTGAAGGTGAAAAGGACCCGGCTGGGTGTGCCGGCAGGGCTGCAGCGCAGGTGGATCTGCAGGGAGGGGCTGGGGCCCTCAGCTCCCCTCGCCTCCATCAGTCTCAGCAGTGGGCTCTTCTTTCCTGGAGGAAGCAGCGCCCTGGATCAGTGCCTCCCATCACCACTACCTCAAGGTCAGTAGGGTTGTTACTCTGCATTTTACAGAGGAGGCACAGAGGGTTTGGGTAACTTGCCCATGGTGTCCTGGAAGGCTGAGACTTCAATCACAGGTACAAACTGTGCGAGCAATTCTTGCCCCCAAGGCCACCACCCCTGGCCAGGTACCCCACGGCCACCTCCCCCTGCAGTGCCTCTGGATCCAGAGCACATGACAAGCCAGGACCAGCGCTCGGGACTGCAGGGCAGCAAGAGGCAGTTCTTGGCCAAGTACGTTCATTCTGCTTTGTCCATTGGCAGAGTCTTTCCTGCAAACCTGAAACCTGAGCCACTTTTTATCCCTTTCAAAAAAAAACAAAACAAAAAAAACCCGTCTCAGCCCCAGTGCTTGCTGCTTGCCTTCTGTCTCCGGAGCCATTACCCCAGGAATGAGAACAAGGAGCCAAGTCAAGCAAGCAGCCTGGACGGGAATCAGGGTGTTCCCATCAAGCTGAGCGGAGGGTGCCTGGGATCTGGAGTGTGTGTGTGTGTGTGTGTGTGTGTGTGTGTAGGGCGGAGTGGAATGGGTGGGGAAGGAAGTGTTTTTGCTCAGCTTTGGCAGAATCGCTTGTTAGAAAGAGGTTATCTGGGGGGCTCTGCGAAGGCCATCTCAACTGCTGCCTCCCTGCTGCCCAACTGGCTTCGCCCAGGGCCCAACCCCACCCCTGCTGCAACCTCTGTCTAAGGGAGACCATGAGCTTCCAAGGCAGAGGCGCTGATGACAGCAATACAGGTCCACGACCCCAGCCATCCCCACAGCTCTGGAATCAGGAGCTTGTTACGACGTCTGCTGCCGCAGCTCAGGGCCGTCAGTGCGAATAATGGTGTCAGTTCCCGCAGAAATGCTAGTGTGGTTGTCGGGTGTGGCACGGGACCCCACGAGCGCACTGTGTTACCTCTCTAGATCCAAAAACCTCAGAATCCTGAATCACTCCGGGCTCCCAGGCTTTGGGTGTGGGACTCTGGGATTAGGAACTGCTAAGGCAAAGTCTAACTTGACGCCACTGACCTTGCGGTAGTGTCTGACTCCACGGCAGGGCTTAGCGCCTAGTAAGGATTCCTGGGAAGGCTTTTTTGAAGGCAGGTCCAAGAGAGTAGGAGGTGGAGAGAAGTCCATCACAGGCATGCCCCCCCAAGCCAGGTCAGGTTGCGGTTGGGTGAGCTCTTAAGGGCCAAGGGCACTTCAAGGTGGGCGGTGGAGGTGAGGACATAATGGAGTCACTTCCAGGTGGAGGACAGGCATTTTTAGCTTCTTGTCTTCTCAGCAACAGTTGTCAAGAGGATCCCATGTGACACCAAGACAAGGGGCCTCGCCTCCCTCTGCCCCTGTGTCCAGCTGAGTCATGGCCAGCGAAGCTGTGTGTAAAGGGAATTAGAAGGTAAACTGCTTCTTGGACATCTGATTGCTCAGTTCTTGCGACTGCTGCCCTCATTTATAACTCGTGCACTCACACAGCACAGACACGGGCACAGCACGGACACGGGCGATTTTCACCCAGGGGTTGATTGGATGCCTGCTGCTGAATGGTCTCCCAAGTGCTTGTACCGTCTTGCTCTGATCCCCCCAGCCGCGTCTGAGACTTCCAGTCTCGAGCTGATCCTTGTGTGGATTCACTGGGCAGTTTGTGGTGGTGGCAGATGGCGGTTATAATTAGGGAGAGAGAGACTCCGGGCTGGAGGGATGCTATGAAGGCATGCGGCTACCACAAAAATGTACCCCCACACCTCCTGCCATGGGGAATGTGATGGACCGAGAGTCCAGGGCCACGTGGAGTCCACTGCGACACGGGCGTCTCTCAGCCAGTGACGAGTCTGCCGGGGATGCCCATCTCAGGGACAGCTTGGGCTCAAGCACTCCCACCCAGCCCCACTCTGCAGCCTGAGGCTCCACCTCCTCGGCCCCTCCTCTACTTGTCGGCTCTGCAGGAAGTCAGGCCTGCCGCAGGGGCAGGGCCGTCTCTGCCACAGAAGCTGGACACATCCGGGTCCTGGGTTCACTTGCTAGCCCTGTTCTCAGGGAAGCCAGACACACCAGACCTCTGTGGGAGAAACGCTCTCTGACTGAGGAGCTACATCTGGACTGGAAGGACCGTGATAAAACAAGACTGTCGGGTAGAAAACCAGAGCTTGAGGCTTCTTTACGTGTGATACCTCTCGTAGCCGAGCCGGTGCTCAAGGGACCCTGGCACTCTGACTGCAGGTTACTGAACGGAGTCACTGCCCACGGGACTGATGGCCTCTAAGTCCAGGTGGCCCTGAGCACTTGTCCCCGGGCCCTGGAGCAGTCACCAGGGGCAACGGACTGACAGGAGGCCTCTTCCTGTGGAAAAGCATTGCCTGCCCCTGCCCCTGCCCCTGCCACAGCCCAGCCGGACACAGGCATCCTGCCCATATCCCGCGAAGGGACTCGCGGACCAGGTGTGGCCTATCTGAGTCTTGGGAGTCTGAATGTCTAGCCTCTGAGCGTAAGGAAAACTCCTGGCGGGGGCCACCCTTTCTCACTGCAGCCCCCTTCCACCCACTTCCAGGCTTTTATCCCACACAGATGGAAATGAGGTACTAATCCACGGCCACGAGGAGACCCGACCAGCCCACCAGCTTCCCGCTCCTGGCTGTGTTGCCACTGCCACATCTCCTCGGCTGACGACCAGGATCATGGGCCCCGGAGTATGGAGACCAGCCCTGTCCCAGCGTCCAGTGATAGCACTTGGCCGAGATGTTTATCACCATTTAATGAATGCCCCCACAGACACGCTTCCCACTGGGCTACAAGCGGATTTCAGGGTGATGGAAGCCGATGTACCACCCAGATGGCCCACCACGGGGTTCCAGACCAGGAGCACTCAGCAGGAAGCAGCAGGAATCAGGGAGCCGAAGAGGAGCCCTGGGACTGACTGACCTTCCTCCTCCTCCTCCTCCTCCCACCTACCTCCTTCCTGCTAGGAACTTCTCCAGGAGGTGGGGCGGGTCCTGTGAACACCACCCCCAGACGCAGTAAGACGACGCGGAGGCACTGGCCCCGAGCAGGCTCACTCAATAAATAACCAAATAATTCCCAGAAGTCACGGCCGCAGGAGGCGCAGGCCGGGGCCGCCCGCTACGTGCTGCACACGAGTACGTCTGCAAAGGGCCCCAGGAGGACCTTGTTGAAGATGCAGCGGACCCACACCAGGTAGGTGGTGAAGGGCTTGATGTTCTCCGTGAAGGTGTGGTTCTGCAGGGCCAGGATGTAAGGCACGTAGGTGTTCTCGCCCTGCTCCTGCAGCCACACCTCGTACTTCACCTCCCTCACCTTCAGGTACTTGAGGTTCCAAGGGATCTGCCAGGACACGGTGAGCCGGGCCTCGGAGGCACCCTGCACTGACGCCTGGCACCGCGCCTCCCGTACCTTGCCGGGGTACAGGCTGACTGTCCACTTCTGCTTCCGTGGCCCCGGTCGGCCCTTCACCACGCGCCGTATGGTCTGGATGAGGGACGGGATGTCCACCTTGGTGTCCTGATAGATCCGGAAGAGCCACTCGGGGTTCCGGCAACAGAGATGCCGTGGGACCTCGCGGCTTTGCAGGATACGGGCCTGCTCGGCCCGGTCCAGGTGGGCGATGCCTCCCTGGTCCCAGGGCCGCTCGGGGTGCGTGACCGTGTTCTCCAGCATCATGTTCCGCCATGCGACATACTGCAGGTCCATGCCGGGCAGCAGGGCCAGTGTCTTATAGGGCGTGTAGTGGTCGGGGTTGACGGCGTATGGGAAGAGCTCCACCACGGTGGCCCCACGGGGCAGGAAGAGGGTGGTGACCAGCTGGGCCCCATGCACACTGACCAGCATGGAGGCGTTGCTGACCAGCCGCACGACGTCGGCGAAGGCGTGGTCCTCCAGGGACACCGTCACCGTCTTCATCTGGAACTCCTGGGCCAGCGCCAGCAGCAGCTCTGCCTCATTCAGGATGAGTCTGTTGTGGGTGCGGCTGAAGACCAGGATGTACTCCTCGCCCAACGGCGGCCCCGTGTGGCTCACGTTCAGCTTCTCCGTCATGAACCGTGCAAACTGCCGGATCTCGTTGCCTGACACGAGGATGTTGGCTTTGGGGCCCTGGGGCTGGACGAAACCGTACTGGTACCAGGTGGTGACCTTGGAGAGGCCCACGAAGGCGTGGGAGAAGCAGAGCAGCCGCCCCAGGGCCTTCAGCTGTGCCCGCAGCAGCGGCTGCTTGGGGCTGAGGAGTTTGTAGAGGTCAAAGTGCGCGCCCTCGCCCCAGCCCTCCATGAAGAAGAGCCGGGCCTCGTGGGCCAGGCCGGGGAACTGCCGCAGCGTGTAGAACAGCGGCAGCAGGTCGTCGTGGAAGACGTGCATGAGGTTGTCGGGGTTGAAGCGGTTGGCGATGAGCGCCACGTCGGGCACGAACACCGGCTTGGGCATGAAGCGCAGGGCCGCGGCGGGCAGCTCCACGAAGTTGAAGTACTGGGTGTTGTGGTCCTCCACGGTGGACAGGTCAAGCAGGGCCGGCTGGAAGCGCCGTGAGCCCAGGTTGGGCAGCATCGCAGAGGTGTTGCCGTGGAAGAAGATGAACTCCTCGGCCTCGTTGGAGTAGCAGAGCCACTGGAAGCGGCAGATGCGGTCGGTGTGCGTGCGGCCCGTGCACACCATGTGGGTGCCGCCCTCCATCAGAATCTGCAGGGCCTTTGGGTAGTCGATCCTCAGCGCCGGGGCCGGCTCTGGGGCCTGCTGGCCGAGGGCCAGCTCCTCCTCCAGAGTGGCCGCATGCTCGCGCAGCCGCACGTGCTTCCACAGGACGGCCGCCAGCACCGATACCAGCAGGGCATTGAACACCGCCGACAGGTGCATCCTCCTGTCACCGCTGCAGGGCCTAGTGAGATGACCGCCGCCGCCAAGTGCCACAGGCCAGGGGAGCTTCACTCATCCTTATGGGCAATCCCAGGGCCAGCGAAAGCCTGCAGGGGGTGGGAGGAGAAGGAAAAGAGAAGGGAGTTGGCAGAGTCTGTCTGGGGTCATCACAAACCCCCCTTCCGGGCCAGGTACCGTGCCGGGCTTGCACTGGTAGGTACGGAGATGAGACTCCTGTTCACAGGATTCTCTCCCTCCCCATGGCTTCCAGGGGTGGTGTGTACCCTTGCCTTGACTTTGGGCTTGGCTGCATAACCAGCCTTGGCCAATGAGGTGTTAGCATGGGGGGAGATATAAGCCAAGGTTTAGCAAATGCTTGGAAATGCTTTCTTATTTCTTTGTCTATCAGCTAGAGCAGGCTCAGTGCCATCCTTATGATCAGCTTCGCTCAGCTGTTTTCTGACACAGTGTAGACTGGATGAGCTGTCCAAGAACCCACAACCCCACTGCCTAGGCTGTGAGGTGCTGCCCACGTGAGAGTCCCCGTCCCGTGCTGTGGGGGAAAGGAAGATGGCCCAGGCCCTGCAGGAGTCTAGACCAAGCCTGTCACTTTGTCGTGAGACACTGGGCACATCACTATGCCTCTCTGGCTGCTGGGGGCCTGGATAGTCAGAATAAAGCAGCCTGCTGGCCTTGGCTTCTCACCTGGTGATCAACCAACTGTGAAGCAAGATGCCAAGAATAAACAGCAGCCCAGCTAAGCCGGGATACAAGGAACAGCGTCATTGCTTCCTCGCAGTGACAGAGTCGTGTCCCCCTCATGCCTGGGGGTGCCGATCCCACCCATGAGGACGGCAGACACACTCTGACTGCTACCGAGGCTCACGGCCACTAAGCAGACACTCTCGTCTTTTTACAGAGAGGAGAAGCAACCGCCCCAGGTCACACAGCACGGCTACAGCCAGGATTAAAAGTGGGGTTGACCTAAATGCCCGGAGCACTGCTGCTGGCCTGCTGCCGGCGTGCCCAAGGCTAAGAAGAAGAACAGCTCAAGCGTGTAGCTTCGGTGTTCCGGGTCTGATGGTGTGCCATGGCTGCGTACACACCCAGCCCCCTGCTCCTCCACCCACCTGCCTCGCTCCAGGGCCTGGGCCAGTCTCATGAGCTGGGCACAGCTCTGCTATGGTGGCAGGCGTGCTTCACCCTGGGGGCTTGCTCTGCCTTCATGGACGCCCCTGGCATTCTCCCCGGCAACGCTGCACATCCCTACTGCACACCTCCACCGTGCTCACCGCGGGCAGTCACACACCTGTTTCAGGAAGCCAACCCCATCCATCAGCCTGACCGGTGGGCCCCTTTTTACAGGGGCCGCTCCTCACTCAGGAGCCGTAGGCCCACATTCCCACCAGCCTGCCGCAGGGCTCCTGCTGCAGGGGGGCTCCCAGAATACGATGTGTGCTCTCAGGGAGAGTTTAGGGACAAAAAGCCAGGAAGATGTGAGTTCAAACCAGTTCCTCATCAGTAGAAACGAGTGCCCAGCACCCTGCCCAGAGGACTGTGGAGACGGTGGGAAATAATGAACTAGTGGAAACTTGCGACTGCCGATTCTGATCCCTAAGTACTAAAACAGCAGTCTCATTCTGTGAGGTTCCAGCTCACGGGGAAGCATCCAGCAGAGAGCAAAAGGGAACGGTCTGAGGCAGCCGATGGTTACTAAAGGGCCACCAGGATACACAAAGCAAGTTGGCATTTGGGAGCATTTTGGACACACTTGGCTGCCTTCATCTGACTCAAAGCAAAAGCTGACGGGGGCGGAGGCAGGAACTGTCACTTGTCATCACGGCCATTTGACTCAAGGGATTCTAAAGCTGAAAGGAAGACTCATCCCAAAGAAGACGGAGACCCAGGCAGACCCTGAATGTTACCACTGTGTCCCCTGTGGCACTGGGCTGGGCCTCCAGGTCAAACACATCAATAAAAGACCCAGAAGACACTGCTGCTGCCACCCGGCATGCACTACCCTTTTCCCTCTCTTCCTCACAAAATCCCCAGTTTGTCCAGACGGACACAATTCCCAGTTTGATACTCTGCAGGCTCTGGACAGTGTCAGGGCCCCACCTCTCCAGGTGGCTGATCCAGTTACCAGCCAGGACCAATCACAGAGAAGAAGCAGTCACATTCCATGTTCCTATCTGCTGCACAGAAAACAAATGGCTGCTGGCTGCCACCTGCTGACGGGGCTGGAGGTGGCTTGAATGCCAAGGAGGGCATGCCAAGGAGAGGTACCCAGGACCACAGTGAATCCGTGAGAGGCAATTTCTCTCGCTAGTGTAGCCAGGGGGGCTGGTGCTGACATTCCATGACCCAGAATGTTCTAGCTGGTGTGGGGGAGAGCCTCTCTGTGAAGTGGGAAGCCATGACATGGGGATCTGGCTGTGGCTCCATTTCTGAACTCTGTGCTCTAACCCTGTGCAGTATTTGGCATCACTTTCCCTGTAGCCCTGCTAACTTGGAAGAACAGAGTGCACTCCCGAGAAACCTCTGCGTGAGAAGAGAAAGGAAAGCAGACATACAGACTGGGCCAGAGGATCCGTAACAGTTTTCCACATGAGTGCCACCAGCTGGCAGGGAACAAGGCCTGGGGTGCCTGAAGTGTCTGCAGCAGGTGAGCCCCAGGAAGCCCTGCAGGGAGTACGTGCTGGTTCGGCTCTTGTCTGGAGCTTTCAGAAGCAACAGAGATCTGTCGGAGGCAGAAGGAAGCGAGTAGAGGGCTGTCCAGGGAGTGTGATCCCAGGAGACCCAAGAGTCTAGCCTGGCTGGAGCAGAGACCACGTGGAGAGAAACAGAAGAATCGGCGAGGGCCTGACTGTCCCTGTCCTTCTGTGATGCCAGACACAGAATCGGAACTCTCTCCATAGGCAGTAGGGAACTTCTGGTCTAGCTACAGGGTGGCAGGCCCGGGCACCATGGCTGCCCTCTTTGCTGGGTTTCTGTCTGCTGCTATAGTCAGCCCTGTTCATCTCTGGGGAGGGTCTCAGCCCAGAAACCCTGCAGCTGAGAAATCTCCTTAAAAGTCAGACTCTCCTCAGTCCTTTGAAACGCACACCTCCACTGGAAAGAAAGGGAAACTCATGCTCCAAACTGATGTGTAAAGTCCAAACTCTCTCATTCACAAGAGACTCTTTCCACAGTGTCTGTCTGCCCAGATTTCAGCAACCTTTACTTTCTGAAGTTCGAGTTCGTTATATCCAACCTACACCACTTTTTCAAAGAAAAACTATATCACTGCGTTCACTTTCTCAAATGTACTTGCCCCCACTTGGAAATTTCGCATCGAGCCCCACCAGCTAAGAACTGTCATGCTATTTGGTTGAACCACAGGAAAGTGCTGATACCTGGCCATTTCTGACCAGTGCTCCGTGGTCCTGTCTGCTGTCTAATGGTTCTGCCAGAGGAACAAGCCATCTTGACCACCACTGTGGTGTGCGCAGCACCACGGCTCTCAGAAGAGAAAGCCTGTGAACTTGGTTACGTCATGACCTCAGCTGCAGTTCTGACATCTTCTCTCTAGGAGGAAAGAGGAGAAGCCAGGATCCAGAAGGAGGAAGCAGGAGAGTTCATTCATCCTTAAGGGCAAGAGAGGAAAAACAAAAGCTGACAGAATAAGGGAATGGGGAAAAACAAACAGACCAAAAAAAAAAAAAAAACAAAACAAAAACCAAAAAAAAAAAAAAAAAAACAAGGACTTGAGACAATGCAAAAGCAGGGGGTCAGAGTGGAGTTACCAGGCATGGTGAGACCACCCTAGGGCCTGCACTCAGATCGGGGCCAGGGACCTGGAGAGGCGCGCTGGAATGACAGGAAGGCAGGAGCAGGAGGCACAGTGGGGGTGTGTGTGAGTGTGCAGATGTTCCAGTTCTGTCCATCCAGAGCCTGGCAGCAGTGGCACCGCAGTAGCCATGAGCACACCCAACAACAGACTCTGGCTTCTAAATGTCTTTTTCTGCTAAATGAACCAGAGCGCCTTAGAGAAACAGCTGGCTCCAGGGCTAGGGCAGTGAAAGCACAGGATGAGCCTGGAACATCTTGCTGTGCCAGAATGTGAGGAAGTGTTGAGGACACAGTGAGAAGACACAGGGGCCAACCTGAAAGAGCTTCCAAGAGTTCAATCTGGGGCAATCTGAGTACCAAAGTTAAGTGATAGCAGTGGATCACAAAGCACGGACTAAAAGAAATATCCACAGGTCAGTATTACTGTGGGCAAGTGCTTAGATAAATAAATAGGAGAGAATAGACCGCTCTTCCTTCTAGAATTCCAATTACTCAGTGCAGAGGCAAAGATGGGAGTAGAAAAAATCCCATTCAGCAGGCAGGACAGTAATGAGTGTGGCAGGCGAGATCTGCTGATAGATGCTGAAGTTAGTGGGTGAAAGTATGATGATCAACGAGATACACAGTAATTACAATGGTAAAAACAGACCCTGCAGCCCAGACCCCTGGCAGACAGCCCCTGAACCGAGTCATCAAAGTTAACTCCACCAGTAAGAACACATCAAGGGTCTCTCAACGTCTGTGTGTTCTTACTGGTGATCATGAGACTGTGGTCCTGTGTGATATTAACCTTGGAGAAGCTGGGTGATATGGTTTTTATAATCTTTCTAGAAGTCTAAAATTGTTTCAAAATGAAAGTTATAAAAGAAAACTTGAAAGGGGCAGGCGCTGTGGCTGCCACCTGTGATGCTGGCATTTCCTGTGAGCACTGGTTCGAGCCCCGGCTGCTGCTAATTCCCTGGAGAAAGCAGTGGATGGTGGCCTGAGTTCTTGGGCCTCTGCCACTTAGGTGGGAGACACCAATGAAGTTGCAGGCTCCTGGCTTTGGCCTGGCCCAGCCCTGGCTATTGCAGCCATTTGGGAAGTAAACCAGTGGATGGAAGATTCTCTCTCTCTCTCTCTCTCTCTCTCTCTCTCTCTCTCTCCCTCTCTCCCTCCCTCCCTCCCTCCCTCCCTCCCTTCCTTCCTCCTTCCTTCCTCTTCCCTCCCTCTCCCCTCCCCCTCTTCCTCCCCCTTCCTCTCTCCTCCTCTCCCTCCCTCCCTCTTTCTCTATACTTTTGCCTTTCAAATAAATAAATAACTCTTTTAAAAAGCACTTTAAAAAAAAGCACGAGTCCTTAGGTAAAATGACATGGATATGCTTTGCCCTGAAATACTCCAGCAAAAAAGGCTGTGCAGAGAGCAACAGTAGGATACTGATCACTGTGGAAAAGGATGAGGGCGTTCTGTACAGGATCTTCTGTTGAGTTTGTTATAAAATGAGGTTTAAAAGGAAATGATAAAGAACCAAACAGATCACAACTATAAATTACAAGAGAATTCTGGAGAGTGGATGAGAAATAAACTATTTGGGATTAAATCAACAAAGCCATCCCTGGAGAGAAGAGAGGCAGATGCACATGGCATGAACTGATGCATGTTTTGTTCTGATCACAGGCAAGAACAACTTCCAACTGAAGCTGAAAGAGACACACGCAGGGAGTATCAGGAAGACGCGGGGGCGGGGGCAGGATGCACCTGGGGCTGAGACACCCACCTGCGGCAGGATGCACCTGGGGGCTGAGACACCCACCTCCGACCCGAGAAGGCCTTGCAACCCTGACATGCTCCCCACTTCTCCAGTGACCGTTCTGTCACCTGCTGTCTCCCAGGCATCCCTGCGGTCTCAGGCAGGCTTGGCAGCAGATGGGGATATGGACCAGTAGCTACCAACAGCCAGAGTGCCCTGTCCGGCCCTCCGGATCTGGCTGGCCATGTGTGGAGTGGCCAAGCCCAGCCAAGCTCTGAGTTCAGGAATCTGGAGCAAAGCTCACGGGACCAGGACACATATAGTAGGGTCTTGTTGGGTAGACAGGCAACCAGGCAGAGACCAGCCTCTGAGAAGAGGTGGGGAGCTGTTCCTTATTAGATTCTTAGTCCCCACCTGCCCCAAGGCCTGCCAGGATGGATTTGACAGAGGCCACATCAATTCAGCCTGGCCACAACGACCTTTCCTGGGCCGTTCAGGGTCCCGAGTTACCCTTCCGAAGTGGGAAGGAAAGAAGGGTTGGTGGGGAGGGATAGAACCATGGAACAGCATTTTGCTAGGAATAGCATGGTGGTTCAAAGTAGGGGTCCTGGAGGGTAGACTGGCCAGGTTTGTGCCACCGTCACCACTCGCAAGGCAGGCAGACAGCACCAATGTCTGATGACAGAAGTGGCCACATAAATCCCCCACACGCCCCAGGCCAGAGCTCTGGAGCTCCTGGGTTAAGCTCCTGTTGTCCACAGCGGTAAGGAGCCTGCAATGCATGCCTTTGTTAGCTGCTCCCTGCCTTGTCTTACTTCTTCTTGCCTATTCAGGTTTACCAGGACCAAGCACAAATAATCCACCTGCACTTGAATCCACCTCTCAAAATCTGCTTACGGGAGAACCTTAATTCACACAGATGTTACTGCATTTTGTCACCAAGGAGATGCATAGAAAACCACCTTCCTGTGAGGTAGCCTTGGTGTGGGCACAGGGGGCCCGCAAGTACCTGGGCAGTCAGTGGTCACCAAGTCCTTCCAATCTGGGTTCCTGCCCCCCCTCTGTGTGTCCCTCCTCCAATCCCACACAGCAGCCTACATAAGCCAGAAGCTCGAAGGATCAGGCAAAATCCTCAGAAAGGTTTTCAAGACAGCAGATGGAGGCAAAGAGCACGTTAATCAGATCCCTCTCCCAGAGCAAGATAAAGAGGCTTTTTCCCTACCACCGCATCGAAATGTTCTCACATAACCGACACATTTCTCCAGGAGGGAAAATCGAAATGGGGAAGAATAAATGGGCCCAGCTGCTAGCTGGGCAACAGAGTGATGTCTTCTTTCTCCACCTCAGTGGACCAGTGCCTGGTGTGGCTGTAAGACCCTGTGATGCTGGGGCAGTGGCAGGGGGAGCAGATGATGAGAGAGCACTCAGGTTGCCCTCCTTGGCCTTGGGGACTGAGCAGGACCGCAACTTGGTCCGACTGGTGCTGTCTGTTGGGCTCTGACACCTGACTCATTGTTCAGAGCAGCCCCGTGCGCCCACAACCTCCCCAGGGTGCTGGTGACAAAGGGCTCAGAACCTATTCTGCCCGCAAATCTCTGTGTCCTGCTTCATCTGTCACCTGGCTCTGTTGAAACAGGTTCAGGAGCCAGAAGCCCAGCACCACAGGAAATCCCATCCTCGTCTGTCTTTCCTGGGACCCCCACAGTAGAGCTGCTAATTTCCCTCTCCCCAACTTGCTGCCTTTAATCCTCTCTTCCACAAGTGAGCAGTGGGGGCAGCCTCCACCCTTATGTTGGGCAGACCTGGCGAGGACCACGTTCTTACTGAGCTCCTGCCAATCACAGTGCCAGACTAGGTCCCTCCCCCACACAACCGCCTTAGTCAATCCTTCAGGACCACTGCTCAACATGGCGGTCTGCTTCATCGCCATTTCCACCCAGGGAGAGGCAGATGACTGAGCTGCACATGCATGGTGCAGCATTCTACCAGGTGCACCTGTGCTGCTGCTCCGAGGTGAGGGCTGCCCACGGGCGGTCTTTCAGGGGGCTCCCTGCACAAGAGGAACAAAGATGATGGCACTGAGGCATGGGTCACCCAGGATGACATATTTTGTCTCCACCTGGTGCCCACCTGAAAATCCATACTGGTGCTTTAGAAAGCATGGAAGTCTGACAGCCTGGGAGGAGTGCAGGACCCCACCCCACTCCAGGCTTAAAAACCCACCCAGAGCTCCAAAGAGGATGGGATTCATATGGGACAGGAGGTTTTTATCTGGGCCCTTTCCCACCAGGAAAAAAGAAGAGTTAGGTGAGCCTTTCTCCTGCTTGGACAAGGACGCGGCAGGCATCCGAACAGCCCGGCAGCCTTGCCCCTGCTCCAAGCCTGCCTCGTCGCAGCTGCCAGGAGAGCTGGACGGAACTTTACACAAAACCACGCTGCCCAAGCAACAAGCCACCACACCTGATATTGTTTACTTAGCAGAATTTGCAAAGTTTCCCAAATATAGCACATTCCCCCTTATGCCCTCCGTGCAGGTGCTATGTGGTCTTTTCCCCAAGAGTCTGCTAAGTCTCATCTGCTAACAGTTTTTGCTGCAGGATTTTTGCTGCAGGCACAAGGCTGCTGGAGGAGGCTGGCAGGGGCCCTGCTGCCTTTGCCACTGAGGCCTTTCATGCAGGCAGCTTGAGGAGCAGCCCTGGCGGGGCCAAGGAGATGACGAAAATGGCCAACTCAGACCTGGACTCTACAGGGCAGAGAGCTGACTGCAAAACTGTATTCTTTGGAAAGAAACCTGTTACATGGAAAAGACACTGCCTCTTGGACATCTGTGGTGCTGCACCCACCTCCTGCAGTGTGTGGTTTTCAGCAGACCTTAACTCTGGCCTGGGCAGCCAAGAGAGCAGGCCTCCCTTGTTGCAAGGACCCAGTGCAGTTCTTCCCAGCATCGTCTCTGGGGCAGTACAACCTCCTCCCAGAAGCAATGGGAGAAGGCAGGGGAGGATTTCCTATAAGGACCTCAAGATACCAAAAGGGCACTTGTCCTGACGTCCTGTCTTGTCCTGACCTCAGAGCTGGGCTTCTCCGTGGATCCCCACAGGAAGTCCCTCCTGCAAACACCTGCTGAGGCCTGGACCTGTGGTGGAAGCCGGTGCCCTTGGGTTTTCTCTTTATTCTACTGACAACAGGATTTGGCTAGATGTGCACAGACATGGCACAACCATCATTAACTACAGATACAGCACAGCCCCCAACCAGGCAGAATGGCTGCTGCCGGCCAGCACCACCACGGCAGCTGTGGTTGGTCACCCTGACTCTCCACTGACTCTACCTAAGCGAAAGTCAGCGGCTGAGATCCATGTTCTCATGAACCTGCATCCAAGGACTCAAGAGGACAGAGAGAACAAGGGATCACGGCTCTACATCAGCTCTACATTAGCTACAGTACGTGATGGGGATTTTTTTTTTTTTTAAGATTTAGTTTATTTGAAAGGCAAAGTTAGAGAAAGAGAGAGGTAGAGACAGAGAAATCTTACAACAGGCAGTTCACTCAACAAATGGCCACAATGGCTGGGGCTGGGGCTGGGCCAAAGCCAGGAGCTTCATCCGGGTCTCCCATGGGGGTGCAGGGGCCCAAGCACACTTGGGCCATCTTCTGCTATTTTGCTACGTGCATTAGCAGGGAGCCAGATCGGAAGTAGAGCAGCCAGTGCCCATATGGGATGCTGCCGTTACAGGTGGCAACCTAGTGCACTGTGCCACAAAGCCGGCCCCATGACAGGGATTTTAAAAATAAAAACTCTGAAAATAAAGACTTCCCTATCTTCATGGTTCCCACTGTGGCAGAGAGGATGCTGGGCCACTGGTAACAGCTGATGTGACGCGGCTGTCAGAGGAGGGGTCAAGTGCTTGGCAGTGCTAACGGAGGAGGCGGAGGAGGCGCTGGGGATGCAGAGGGCCCAGCACTGCAGGATGCCCTCTGGCTGTCCCGTGAGGGCTGGGGCGGGACCCCACAGCTACCCCCCGCTCCCTGCCCAAGAGCCCTGTGCTCCATCCTGCTGCGTGGTTGTCTGGCCTTTGCTCAAAAGCCCTCAGCCACGAATGTGTCCGGAAGCTGCCTGGGGGAAGAGCACTGTCAGGAGCAGAAGGGCAATGTTTGCTTAAGACGCCGGTGAAGCTGTCCCAGAAGGAGAGCACGGGGTCTGCGCTCAGAGTGGGCGCCGGGACTCACAACAGGCAGCTGTGGCACCGCAACTCCTCCTCCTCCTCCTCGGGGGAGTGCTGGGTGAGGGCTCTCCCCGGGGACTCACGGCTCACACGCCCTTCCTGCAGACTCGGGATGAACTGGCCTTGGCATCGGGGCCGGCTCACCTCTCCTCCAACCTCAACTTCCTCAGCTGTGCAATGGGACTAGTAACCTCTGCAGGGCCTCGTGAAGATTCCGTGAGCTGCCGTATGCCAAGAATCCAGCGCAGCGGCTGCCATCCCTGTCCTGCCATTAGGGCTCCGAAAATTAACAACGCAGGAGCCAGCAATGCTCCCAGACTCCTGGCTTTGCTCGGTCTTCCTAATGACTCGCTTCCCCTCTCCTGTTAAGAGAGCTCTGTGAATTTACAGAGAGCTTCTCCTAGCCTGAGCAGCCAGTTTTCAGCATAAAATTAACAACCAGTGGCACCACCACCTCCAATATTTTATGTTCCAGGCAGTGGACTGAAAACTGCATGTTCGTTTTCCCATTTAGTTCTCAAACCAATGTGAAGAGGCCAATACTATTATAAACCCGACTCTACATATCGGGACACATAGGCCAGGGGAGATAAGTGAGGACAGAACACAGGATCTAATGCAGGTCCAGAGCTCTGTCCCGTGCGACACCCATGCACCCTCAGGACCCACGCAGGGCACTCAGATGTCCCCATGTTCTCCATCCTCTGTCTCCTTTACGTCGGGTACCAGACTTAGGACTCAACTGGCGTGGGGACCAAGGGGTTGCATGGTTCAGCCAGGGCAAAGCATGACAGAGCAAGAGAAGGAAGGAGGGAGGGAAGGAGGGATGGAGGGAGGGAGGGAAGGAAGGAAGGAGGGAGGGAAAGAAGGAAGGAAGGAGGGAGGGAAAGAAGGAAGGAAAGAGGGAGGGAAGGAGAGAAATAAATAGGAGAGCAATTCCCTTCACAAACTAGGCAGAAAGAGGATGCTGCAGATCTAGCCCCCCTACCCCCAGCCCCCAAACAACCAGCTCCCAGAGCACTAGGGATGTTCAGATTTCCCCAGACTTGTGACTCCTCCTTTCCAGGATCCCATCTGTTCCAAGGAAAGGTGGAGTAAGGCATGGATCCTGCTGCCATACCTGCAGGTGCTAGGAAGCGCCAGGCAGCTGGGGCTCCCCACCTGGGGCTGGTCACCAGCACTGAACACAGGCTCCACTTCTAGGGGGTCCTGGCCAGCCCCAGACACAGGCACAAGGAAGCCCACAGTGATTTGGAGTCTGTTAAGGAGAAGCCCAGGAATTCCAGGCCTCGAGCAGAGGTACAAATGCATAAGCCCACGAGGGCCAGGAGCCAATGGAGAGAGTAAAGCTGGGATGGGCTATGTGACCTTGAGACCAAATGCCGGGGCTGAGGACTGCCTGGTAGCAAAGTGGCCGATGCCACCTGCTTACGCCCGTCTGCTTGGGCTGCATAGCAAAACAGCACAGACCTGCTGCTTAAGCAACAGACATTAATTCTCACAGTTCTGGTGTCTGGAACTCCAAGATGGAGGCAGAGTCAGGGTTGGTTCTTGGCTTGTGGACAGTCGACTGCCCCCTCACTGTGTCACGCAGGCGGGATGGGGGGGGGGGAAGGAGGTCTGGTCTCTTTGCCCTTCTTACAGGGACACATCCCTATGGGATTCAGCCCCACTCCGTTCACCTTCATTATTGGGGCTGGGCTTCAACATACGAACGGGGGAGGGGGAGCCCGATTCAGTCCATCACAACGTTCCACTGGTTTCTTCCAGAGAAGCCAGAAGGCTACTTAACACCTGAGATGTCCCAATGTGTAACGTCTGGCAGCTACTCAGATTGAGTGAAGACGACGTGCAGGCCTCACTGCTGCCAGGTAAAAATAAGACCTGTCTGTAGGCTCGGGTCTAAAGTGAACCCAGGCCCTTTCTGGCCTTACTGCCGTGTGACCACCAGAACCAGCTGCCCACAGGTCACTCCTCCAGGGGAGGGGAGCACCTGCCAGCCTCAGGCTCCAGAAGACACAGCAGGGCCCAGGCCAGGAGGGGAGTCAACAACAGTGGTGGTGGCACTGTGGCAGTCCCCAAACTCTTGAAGGTGCAGTGCAGTGAGAGTGAGGTTGCTCCAGATGGGTGGGACACGACCCTTTCTACCTGGCATGATGGCCACGTGCACGATGGCCACACGGCAACCCAGGTTCACAGGCAAAAGTGCAGACTGTGGGTACAGAGTGGTGTGGGCTGTTCCAGGAACTACGAAAGAAGTCCTGGGGAGGTGAGGCTCAGCATGCTAAGTGGAGAGGGGTCTCCTGGGGTCCTCCAAAGCAGGACTCGGTGGGACCCATGGACTGGCAGTATCAGCATCACCTCGGATGTTACAAGTGCATGGCCTTGGGGACCCAACCCAGGAACCTGTGCATCCACAAGACTTCCAGCTGGTCCTCACGTGCGCTCTGTTTTAAGAGGAAGTGCTCTGAGGTTTTGGTTACTGCACAGTTGGGCAACACCCAGCAAGGCATTGCTGTCCAGCTCAAGGTCAAGCAAGGGTAACCCTCTCTGTCAAAAAAGGCTAAATAAATTCTGTCCCCAGCCTCTGCTGAGACACACAGCCTAAGTTCCAGTAGACAGAGAAGCCTGCCGTCCTCTAAGGTCCTTTTTCAGAAAAGTTGCCCACTCCTCCCACACAAGCTGCAGTGCTTGTTGGGTGGGGTAGCAAGAAATGAGTCCAGGTCACTTGGCCTCAGCTATATGGACTGGGGGTGAGGCCCAGTCCTTAGTGGCCACCAGCAGGGAACAGAAGAAAACCCCATCCCTGCAGGCCGGCGGAGACAAGGCGGGTCCCCCGAGAAAGGGGCCCGAACACAGCAAGGTGCGCTGTTGCTCCAGTTCCTTACAATGGTGACTGCCATCCCCTTGGAAACTCTGGGATTGGCACAACTGATGCCACCCAGGATGTGCCTTGATTCCTGCCATAGGAGGCCTGGGTCTACTTCACCACGGGGCATGTCTAAAACAACCCAGCATGAGGGCCTGCGTCGGGAAAGGTAGCAACAGTGATGGACATCAGCCCAGGGCCCCTGTTCCCCTCCTGAGGTCTGGCCCAGGACTGAGGACTCATTACACAGCAAGGAAGGAACCCTCTGTTGCACTTTACAAAGCAGAGAAAGTAACGGCTCCTAGTATAAGACTGGACCCACGGCAGTCCCGACCGGCTGGGATCTGATTCTCTTAGAGGTGCTGGACCCCAAGTATGTCCCAGTGAGGACGTGAGGAGCAGAGGAAATGGGAAGACTGACTCCCATCCAGCCCAGCTCAGGAAAAGAGGATGCTGACTTCAGGAGCAGAGGGAAGAGATTAAAGCGACCACCATCTTAATTTACTAAGCACCTATTATGCGCCAGGTACTATCCCAGGGCTGCCTCCTGCCACACTGCATGTAAGCCTCACAAAAGCCTTCCAACTAGTATTGTCCCCATTTTAAAAGAAAATGAACAGAGCCTCAGTGGGTAAATGTTTAAGGTCTTATGGCTCAAGTGGAGGCCCCGGGATTTGAATGCACCTGTGCCCTCCGTGGGCCAGTCCTTAAGTGCCCTGCTCCACTCTCCGGAGGCTTCCAGAATCAGGGTGGACCTCAGAGTCGTGGGTTTTTAAACATACAAAGGCAGAGCAGCTCCGGACGCCTCTGGAAGCCAGACCCGCAGGCCCTCGGCGGTAACTTAGCAACCCAAGCCTTCTTGCTGTAATTACTCCCCAGCCAGCTAAGCAGAGTGAGTACCCGGCTGCGGCAGGTGGTCTGGGCGCTGTGGCTATTCTTTTGCTCCAAGGAGAGTACGGGTGGCACACTAGCGTGATAATGATCCCACCTGCCCTGGTGCTGAGCTGAGAGAGGGAAGCCATCACCACAGAATTACACAACCCCACTGTTTAGAGCTAACAGAGCTCTTTGAAATGATTTGCTCTAACTCTTTATTCTATGATGAGGACTTAGGAGGTGATACGAGCTCTCACAGGCAGCTAGGATTAAAACATAAGGACTCCCAGTGCAGGCTCTTCCTCCTCCTCCTCCTCCTCCTCCTCTCACCCAGCCTCGAGGGCTGCTCCCTCCCGAAGCAGAGATCAGGCCCAGAGAAGAGTGCATGGCTCCCAGGCTCTTCCCAGCAGCAAAACAAGCACATCCTTCTCATAACCTAGGGCTTGTGTGGGCTGCCTCTTCCTAGCACCTCATTCCCCAAACTCCCCCAGGAGCCACCCCTCCTCCATCTTCACCACTCACGGAGACAGGGAGAGGAAACACACACAGCCAGGTTGCAGGGTCCCACCTCTAAGCCAAGCTGTGTGAGGACACCCCCTGCTGTTACACAAGAGGCGGCCCCAGGTCACAGGTGGGCCTCAAGGATGGCTAAGAGCACAGGCTGCAGAGTAGCAGAACTAAATGGCACCTGTTCTGGAGCAAGAGAAACCAGGATATGAGTTCCTATCCTGCCACTTGGTGGCTAAGGCCAACTCTTCACCCTGCCAAGCTTCCCTTTCTTGGTCTGAAAAACAAACAGGATGGTACCTCCTTCACGGGGGTTGGTAGGGTGGAGGGGTTGGTTCTGTGAATTCCGAGACAGCACAGGCAAAGCACTGGGCTGCACAATCATTTTTACATCATCATTCTTCTTAATCCTAATAGTGGTAGGACACCTCCCATTCACTGGCTCTTACGCCACGCCAGGCACAATGCCACGTGCTTTACATGCCTTATCTCATTTATTCCCTGCTACCAACCTGAAGCAGGTGCCACTTCCCATTTGAGGAAGTGTGCACAGAGGTGTTACATGAACTCTCTGTCTTGCACAGCTATTAAGTGGCAGGGCTGGAATGTGATCCCAAGTCAGACTCCAAAGCCTGGGATGACATTTGTGGGTTCTGCTTCCTGCTTCAGCCAATTTCAAAGCCCTGGGAATGACGTGATCCTGGGGGAAACCATCCTTCTGACAGCCAAGCTGAGCTCGGTGAGAATCCTTGGGAATGTTTCCTTCAGAAGATTTCATTTTCTGGTGAGCTCAATACTCACTGGATGCCTTTGTTTCTTATTGCTAAACACTTTCCAAAGCAAGGCTCAAAGCAAGAATTGCCAACCACAAGACAGAAGCTCTGAACTCCAGCACACTCAGGCCACCAGGAAGCTCCCGTGGCCACGATGGGCTTGGCCACTGGCACAGACCCGTCTCTCTCTGCTGCGTGAGGACCTCCACTCTTCCCTCCTCCTCATCCTCCCAAGGGCCCAAGGCTTGAGAACACCTGTACTGGCCAGCCCTGAGGATGGGGGACCCTTGTTCTGTGCTGGTTCAGGACTCCAATTCCTCCTCTGATATGCCAAAGATGAACTGGAAGGTTTCCAAGATCCATGAGCGCTAGAGAAGACAGCAGGCCCAGCACAGACAGACATGGGTTCCAATCTCACCTCTGTGCTGACAGCTACTGCACACCCACTTGTGTTCCAGACACCGGGTTGAGGACTTGTTCCCACTCTGTTCCACTGAACCCTCAAGGCAACCTTGTGATGAGGGCATGGCCATCCCCACTTTGCAGAGAAAGAAAGAGAGGCTCAGAAAAGATAAGCGGCTTGTTCGACGGCTCCACAGCTAGTCAGAGTGAGGCTTGAACAGGCGGCACACCTAACAGCAACCACTTAGTCTGCTTGGTTTGGATTCTCAGGCATTAGGTGCCACCAAGCCCACCCATACACCTGAAGTTATCTCTTCCCATATGGGGTCTTGTTTCTCCCAAGAGGCGGCTCCGGGGGCTGGCTGGCATGAAATAAGGAGGACACTGGCCGCTCACCACCTGGTGCAGGACTGCGGACTGAGGATCCCAGGAGACCGGGTCCCACCACACAAGCATGGGCTCGTACGTCCACTGGGCTCCTCCTACCCTGGCATTGTCAACCAGGCCGGGGTAGGCCCTTATCACGGGCACTCAGCAGGTGGCCTACTAAGCCCCAACAGCCGGGGGGTCAGCTGCAGATGTGCCCAAGTATTGCCTTCAAAGTCAGCTCAGGTGGCCCAGGCCCCCTCCGCGCACCTTGCCTGGCTCCCGGCCTCCCGCGCCGAAAGCGCACCATCTGCTCCCAAAGTGAAAGGGCGTGGGGGCCGGGGGACAGGGCCCGCCACGAGCTGAGGGCTTCTTCATCCCGCATGTTTCAGGGTGCAGCCCCGGTCCGAGGCGCCGGCACCCCGAGGGGCCACCCCCACCCCGCCCACCGCGCGCCTCCCTCCATACGCATCAGTCACTCCTCCGCGCTGGAAACTCCGCCGGCTCGCGAAAGCAGCCTCACATCTCTCCTTCACCCCAGGGTCCGGCATGCGCACCGTGCCCTGGAGGGACAGATCCCTCCACTCCACAGTCCAGCTGGGGCGCGGCGGCTGTGCCAGCCCTGAGCACACGCGTCTCACCTGAAGCCCAGGCTCCGCAGGACTGAAGCCGGCTTTGCCACCCCGGCGCCCACTCCGAGCCCGGGAGGCCCAGGCAGCGAGCGCAGGCTCCGACGGGTTGTCCCGTCAGCTGTCGCCTCCGCGGGACTCGCAGGTGTCACCCATGCGCCTGCCTGGCTGGCAAGCCTGGCACGGCAGCCTTACGCATGCGCAGAACCGAGGACTTCTGGGAGCTGTGGTTTTAATCCGAAGACAGCCCGCCCCCTCACCCTGCGGAATCTTGGGAGTTGTAGTTTGCGATTGATGCCGCTGCGTTGCATCTATTATGGGAATTCTGATGCTAAGTTTAAATGAGAGTTAAACCAACATCCAAATGTCATTTACAAATTCAAAGTAATGAAGACGCTGACATGCTTTAATACATACGTAGTTCTACAGGGAGCTTAACTACTCACACAAAAGCACCCTCCTGCGACCCCATTCAATGGCCCAGCCCTACTCTCTCCCACCCTGGCAAGTCCAGCTGCCCTCACACTATTGCGTCTGACATTTGCCGCTCACCTTCACAATAGATATCGATTATAGATATAGATAGATTCCAATTTCTTTAATATTTATTTATTTGAGACAGAGAGAAAGAAGCCAGGAATGCAATCTGGGTCTTCCACGTGACAGGGACCCAGCTTCTTGAGCCATCATTGCCGCTTCTCAGGCTGTGCATTCCAGGAAGCTGGAATGGAGGGCAGAACTGGGACTCAGACCCAGGCACTCCCAGCTGGCACACGGTGAACCAACAGGCACCCTAGCCACTAGATCCAACTCTCCAGCACAAGCCCCTACTTCCTGATTTATGGATTTATAAACTTCTTGACTTTTTTGGTAGGTTAAATGAAAATTGAGATATTTCAGAGATGCACTGATCATAGCTACTTCCATCCCCATAGAGTTATGATGACATAATGCCTATCAAATTGGGAAGCCCTGTCTTTATAATTATTTGAAATGATCAGGTTCAAGTATTGAGGCAGTAAACTAGTAAACTTATACAGGGCAGTTTGTGAACACAGTCAAAAGTCCTTTAAAATAGGCAGTCAAACACCTCTAACCAAGACATTTTAATTATTGTGGATAAGTGCAAAGGTTAAACAATGTTGTTTCTAATGATATAAATGAAAAGGCTAGAGTGGCTGCACTAATTTCAGACAAAGTAGAATTAAGAGCAAGGAAAATTATAAGGGATAACGGGGTAAAATTATATTACACTTCTTGGTCAATCCACCAAGAAGATATAATAATCCTAAATGTGGGTGTCATAATAACAGAGTCTCAGCCAGCGCCACAGCTCACTAGGCTAATCCTCCACCTGCGGCTCCGGCACACCAGGTTCTAGTCCCGGTCGGGGCGCCGGATTCTGTCCCGGTTGCCCCTCTTCCAGGCCAGCTCTCTGCTGTGGTCAGGGAGTGCAGTGGAGGATGGCCCAAGTGCTTGGGCCCTGCACCCGCATGGGAGACCAGGAGAAGCACCTGGCTCCTGCCATCGGATCAGCATGGTCGCCGGCTGCAGCGTGCCGGCCATAGTGGCCATTGGAGGGTGAACCAACGGCAAAAGGAAGACCTTTCTCTCTGTCTCTCTCTATCACTGTCCACTCTGCCTGTCAAAAAAATTAAAAAAAAAAACATCTAAACATACACTCACCATGACATGTCAGTCACACTAACAGGCATTTAGCCCAGGTAAACAGAAACTCATAACCCCATAGAGTACCTAACTGTGCATCGCGCCTGTATTTGTAAATGCCCCAAACTGGGAACAAACAAAATGTCACTCCATAGGTGAATGGTTAAACAAACTGATCCATCCAAACCAAAGATACCATTCAACAATAAAAAGAGAAAAACAACTGGGACTTGGGGCATAATTGGGCATTTTGTTGGCTGAAAAAAGTTTCAAAAGGTGACCTATAGCATGGCCCACTCACGTACCATTCCCGAAATGACAAAACCATGGAGATGGAGGAAATATTCGTGATTGTCAGGGGTGGAGGCCAGGATATAAAGGAAAGGGTGAGTGTGAGTGTATGAGGACAGTAGGATGGAGATCTTTATGGTGGTGAAACAGTTCTTTATCTTGACGACAGTGCTGGTTACACGAATCTACTCATGTGGTCCGAACGACATGGAACTATACACAAACTTTCACCAGCATCAAGTTCCTGCTTTTGATATTGATATATTCCTGATATTGTACTACAATTATGTAAGACGTAACTACTGGGGGAAACTGGATAAAAAATACTCCCCGGAAGCTGTCTGTGCTATTTTGGCCACTTCTCATAAATCTATGATTCTTTCCAAATAAGAAGTAAGAAAGCAGACCAAAAAAAAAAAAAAAAAAAAAAAAAAAAAAAAAAAAAAAACTAGAAACCACTTTGTCCTCGGTCATACAGGATGGATTAAAGACAGTCCTGGAACATCTAAGAAATCATTGAAAGGAGGCTGCAAAATAATATTCACCTAACACTGTAGAAGAAGTTTCCCATTGTATCATGTTGTGATATACTAATTAATTAAACAGAAAGAGAGAGAGAGATTTATCATCTGTTGGTTCATTCCCCAAATGCCTACAATGGTCTGATCTGGTCTGGGCCACCCCAAGTTGGGGGCCGGGCACTCCATGCAGACCTCCCACAGAAGTGGCAGGAACTACTTGTGCCATCACTGACTCTCGGGATCTACATTAGGAGCAAGCTGGTGTCAGGACCTAGACTAGGGGATGAAACTTGGGACATGGGTGCCTTAATCCCTTGGCTAAATGCCCCCAGGATGTTATTTTGCTCCCAGTTGAAGGGCTGAGAGTCTTACCTATCTTGACCGAAGCCATGTAACTGGCCAGTGGAGCCCAGTGTGGTGACCCCCAGTGGCCCTTCCCACCTCTGATCTCTCCAGTGCTGCCTTTCAGCTTTCTGCCAGGCCCCCTCTCCACTGCCAAGTTGTGTAAAGTCCTACCCTGCCTGTCTTTTGCCCTCATCCTCTTCCAATCCTGCTTTTATGGTTCTGGTTCAGGGTGGTCCTGTATTGAATTAACTATCTCAGAAAAAAAAAGTAAGCTCATACAAAGATTGTGTCTGTTAAATGCAGACACTCCAGCAACCTGTTTTAACTCTACTCAGTTATTTGTCTCTTTGCACCTATTCAGATGTTTAAAATAAAGCCTCTGACTCAAAGCAGGTGGATAAACAGGAAGCCAAATAATCACAGTGGAATCCAAGCCAAAATCAGAAACATGGGGGCTGGGCAAGGCTGGGGAGAGCTGGGATGAGAGGAGGCAGAGCACGCACAAGCCCTCCCTCCTCTGTCTTCCCCCATGGCGACACCAGAATGAGATTTTAGAGGCCTTTACAAACAATGCTTTTTAAAATGTAAGTTTTTATAACTGTCCTCTCTTGTATGTTTTTAATTTGGCTATTTTTGGCCAGCTGTTTGATGATGGCGTGATAGGCTGTTTTGCTAGCATTTAGCTCAGTCTGTCTGCGATGGGCACCCTCCACTTTGTATCTCTTGGTGAACACTCAGCATCCTGCAAGAGGTGAAATTAGGGCTTTGGTAAGGTCCCTGCCATGCACTGCCTTGGCAAGATAATGAAATATTACCTATGAGGAGGATAATTACAAAAGACATTCATTTCCTAAAACCAAAGCTTAACCAGTTGCAATGCTTTTAATAAACATTAAGCTGCGGAGGCAGATGTGCAATTTGCATTATTTCCAACCATTCTGTTCCTTCATCTCCTTACCCCCAACATGGCCCCTCTCCTTTGCTCCCGTGGACGATTTTTGCAATGGTATTTGCACTGTCCAGCTCCTGCAGGCTTGTAGATGATTTTATGTTGAGTGTTCAGGGGAGGAAGACATATCCTGTAATGTAAATGCTGAGGTGTGCACTGGGAACAAGAGGCCCTTGTGTACACACTGGGAAACATGAGTGACAGCCCTGTGGTCAGGCCTCCCCCACTCAACAGGTCTGCCTTGGGTCACTTGCTTGTGTCTCCCTGGTGACTCATTTATTCAAATAAACGCAGTTGCACCCAAATATAACTGCTTCTAAAATCTCGAAGTCATTGATCTCACTTCCTCCAGCTCCACATCTCATATTCCTTGGAGAATAATTACATTGAAAACTCAGTGGCAAAAAACAGAGTACATGGGAACTTCTAATGTTGGTCATGAGGGGAAAGGTGCCCTCACACACTAGTGGGAAGGACATAAATCAGTGTGAACCTGCACTGTGCTGGTCGCAGCAGAGGCTTGCCCGGCTCTGTGGAAGCTTAGAACACTTAGGACTTTGCTTACTTATGAGAAATAGTCCAGAGCTGTCTGAAGGCTCCAAGAGGATGTTCAAGGACTCACACTAACTTGGCCTTTCTGCTTCCCATCCTTAGTATACAACTTCCATCCTTGAGGTCATAACGAGGTTGCTGTAACTTCTGCCATCACAACCAGGATCCGCACAGGAAGTGGAGGAAGGGCTGGAAGAAAAAGGGGCTTTCCTAGAAGTATCACTTAAAACTGCTGCTTACACATCACCGGCCACCCTTCCCTGCAAAGGAGGCCCCAAAATGAAGACTTCTGATTACTAATGGAGAACGGACATTGGGTAGATTGCCAGCACTACCTGCCATGAGGTGCAGCCTTTCTTGGAGGACAAGTCAGAAATGTAACAATTTAAATGCACTGATTAATGACCCAGAAATTCCAAGCTAGGAACTTATCCTGGGGAGGGAGGTACTCAACACGTGTGCAGGCACCTGCTTGCTACAAGCTGTAACTTACAGCAGGAAAAGGCTGTGCAAAGGCAGGTTCAGTAAGTGCAGTGTCACAACGAATGTCAGACTTTGACCTGTTGGATCATCAACTCCCCTTCCCCAAAGGAGATGCGTAGAGACAGGGAGCAGAGGTGTGTGTGTGTGTGGGGGGGGAGGGTCCCTTCTCTGAGCCAAAGCCCAAAAGTAGGGGAGGACCATGCGTGTCTCCCCTGCAGCCCAGCAAAACAACTACTCAACATGGAGTCAGACCGACTCTGAGGTTGCAGTCACTTGCCCAAAGTCCAGTACACGGATATCTTCCTTGGGTGCTTCTCTGAGCAGAGGAAGCAGGCGAGGCAAGGCGCGGTGGGTGGCTACTAAGACTCTTGGAGGCAATGGAGTCT